TTTAATTTAAATTTAAAAGAATTATACCTGTTTGAAAATTGTTTATATTTTCAGACCTCAAGAGAAATTTAGCACTCCTGAGACCCCTTTATCAAATAGAAAATTCTTTAACATGGCAAATGTAATTTGCCTTGAAATGTAAATGTAAAGTAGTATTTAACTCGATATAAAAATGGATAAAAAATATTTTAAAATAACCTGTTATTTTTTATTAAAAAAAAATTATGTGTATGTAATGTTAGCTATTTCACAAGTTGAAAAAAAATGGCTATTTTTTGAAAAATATTCCAGTCACAATATTTTAACTTGGGAATACATGTTTCCATATTCGGGAGAAAATTTTACAAGGCGTTATTTGTGACAATATGCAAAGGATTTCCCAATGAATAAAACTCCGTAAATAATAAAGTGCCATGAATTGTTTACCTTTTAAAGATGAAGCTTCCTATATTTTTTCCACTTTTTGTTTAACGCGTTTCGTATAATGAATATAAATGTCATTACAGAGCATTTCATGTTCTAAGTAATTAAGTACCAATTAGAAAGTGATATATTTTCGATAATTGTTGCCAAACTTAACCAATAACAAACTTGTAGTTTGGACACTTTCGATTAATTAATTCATTATCTTAACCAGCATTTACTGTTGAAACAATGCATCTGTCATCGAACTAATTGGGTTAGGAGGGAGCTTTAATTAACTTACTGATCAATTCGGCCGATAAAGGTTAAACTCATAACAGCTTCAGAAACTTTTGAAGGAAAATTGAATGTTAATTTCCTCATAATTCAATATCTTGATGCCCATAACATTTTGTTTAATAGTAGCAGGGTATTTTTTTCTTTTATGCGGTATTATAAAGATTTCTCTTTACAAATTGACTTGCGAGTGTCAAAAAATCTTAAGGATTCAAAAGTCTTTGTTAACTGCCTATTAATTATAATTACTTTTAGTAATTGCTGTTTTCTTTGAAATAATTAAAAATTCCTTTTCAGAACATTAAAAGCTGATCAAAATATTATATATAATAATAATGTTGCTAATATTATTATATTATTATTGTTGCATTATTATTATATATAATAATAATGCCACTGTGTGCTATTTATTACCAAAAACCTCCATAAATCTTTAAGGTATTCGACTACGTTTGGAACCGTGATTTTGCAAAAGCGCGTAAATGAATAACATTTATGATATTTAGTGTCACGTAGATTAGAATACATGTATACAATTGTTTTAAGGACATTATGACAAAAAAAATTATTTAAATACAATATTTTGGCAAAAAATTAACTTAGAATAACCTTTTTTTCCAAATGCTCTCCTTTTGTAAAAAATGCTTCTATTGTATTAATATTTTGCCTGTATTCAGCTCAGACCTCTCTACAGAGGCTCAACTAGAATTTTTGAAATGCATAACTCGGAAGTCGGTTTATCCATGTCTTACGAAAACAGAAGGGAGAAATTTTAAGAAAATACGCCGATAATTATTTCAAATGGATGTAACTCTGAAAATAATTTGAATTTTTCACAAATCATAGTTGAGCCTCTGTACAGAGGTCTGAGCTATATACAGGCAAAATATTAATACAATAGAAGCCTTTTTTACAAAAGGAAATCATTTGGAAAAAAGTTTATTCTAAGTTAATTTTTTGCCAAAATATTGTATTTAAATAATTTTTTTTGTCATAATGTCCTTAAAACAATTGTATACATGTATTCTAATCTATGTGACACTAAATATCATGAAAATTATCCATTTATGCGCTTTTTTAAATCATGGTTCCGAACATAGTCGGATACCTTAACTTGATGTAAGTATTAAAGTAGTTTGAATTTAAATCCAATCGAAAATTTTGATATTAAATCAACTGGAACAGGAAACAGCAAACCGCTGTTCGCAATGAGCATGTGGCTCTTTGCATAGATGGTTGTTGCGCTCAGTCTTATATATATATGCCTCTATATAATTACAAAAAATAATTATGTCTACTGAAAGATGGTTTTCGTTTTTCTTTTCCTTTATATAATTATTTATTGAAAAGTGTACCGATATTTGCACATTCATTTAAGTATTTGTGTGCGTGACCGGTTTAAGATATTTACTAACGATAGTTTTTTTTAAAATAAATATTGTTTTTCCTGTAAAGCAAAGCTTATTAAAACTCAATGAAAACATTACAAATATTAGGGGATAAAAGCAGTAAAAATCAAATGTTTTGGTAAAAATACCGCCATGAACCACTTCTAAAGTGATTTCTAAAGACATTTACTTGTTTGTGTAGTGTTGAAACGTCAGAAACAAACACAATCCCTTTTAACTATTGTGTAAATGGGAAATTCTCGAATAAAGCAATCACGGTTATTTTCTCGAAACTTGAAAATTAAATTCAAAACATTATCGAATAATAATAGCGTTGGATCTCGTATTCAGCCAAAAAAATCTTCCACAGTTCTCAGTTTTGGAAAGAATATAGTATTTTGAAGAAATATATTATAATATAGTACTTTGGGTATTTTTTTTTAATATCTTAAAAAAAGACACTGATTGCAACATGACTGATTTGACCGTTACCACCACCGGGAACCCCCACCACCCTAATGCAAAAGCGTATAGTTATGCAAATGGCTCTTTGATAATTCAGTTATCTTATCAAAATTCTTATCTTATCGAAAGTTTGCTGATCCATTAACTAAAATATTTCATGTGGTTTTATCAATATATATGGCTGTTATTAGTCTTACAGCCACTTATGTATTTAAATTTATTTATAATCATATTTTAATCGTTTAACTTGATATACCAAGTATTTTAATGTGTGTATGTGTGTGAGTGTGATTCCATTTTTAAACTAATAACTTAGTGTGGTTTTCAATCGAAAAAACAGATATATAAATTTCATTTCAAATTTTTAAGTCTATCTGTATTGTGCTGTGGATATGGATATTTCAATCGAAAAAATAAGTTTAACCCCTTCCTTCTTGCTCCCGTCAAAATCACGGGGTGAACTTTCCCTCTCTATTTCTCGCGCCCGTGATATTTCGAGGCTGGAGTGTTCAAAAGTACGCGCTGAAAAAAGATTAAAACTATCTATTTCTTATGCTTGGAATCATGTTTATTTCTCACCATTGGACAGTACAAGATTATTATATCTAGTAACGTGTTTAGAGATAGTTATTTTATTTTAAACTAAATGTTAGTACAATCAAATATATATATATATATTAGCGATATGTTTTTGTAACCATAGCTCAGTTACTTAGTTCCGCTCTTCGCGAACACACATGGGTTGCGTTCTGTGATAATACATATATATATATATATATATATATATATATATATATATATATATATATATATATATATATATATATAGGCAAATTCTCTACAAACAAGAGATAACATCCAAACAATAACATTCGAAAAACACATAGACAATAGGAAAATCACACAATGAGGGACATATGAGTGATCGAGATTTAAAATTATAAAATGGATGCTCTGCAGTGTTATAAACATTACTGACTTAGGACAGCTAATATATAAAATAATGTATATAAAAGTGGGGTTGAGCATGTTTTTTGGCCAGCCAACCTTCTCCCTTTTTATGTAAATAACACTGAGCAAAAACCAATAGAAAATAATGGATAGGAATATCTAAATCCATTACAAAATAGAGGTAACTTACCTAAAAATTGCACTTAGAAATATATATATGTTAATATTGCATACATTATGGAGTTAGCCAGAAAGTGAATCGGATTGGATTCTACTTTATGTACAAATGGGTGTGAGAGTGATTCTGAAGCAACGGATTGTTTTGAAAGTTTGGTTAGTGAATCTGAGAGCAATTATGATGGATCTGTACTGTTACCTGGAATGTTGACTTTTGCACCTCATGGTTTGCAATTTATCTCCCAAGAAAAAACTGCTAATGTGTATTTACATTATGTAAAAGTGTAAAAAAAATTCTTTTTTAAATAATTAAAATACATGTTTGTTTTTTTTAAATTTTTCTCTTTGCTTCGAAAACCAACATTCAGTCATAATAACTCTAAATGTTGGCTTTTCGTAAAAAGTTTTTTTTTTCTTTATTTCAAGCTAAAAGTTTAAAAATAAATACATATATTGTACATACACTTAGTTTTATATAACTTTTTGAATAAATAGTAAGCACTTTTATCGCCATTTTGTTTAAAATTATGCTACCATTTAGGAGTAAAGGGCCGGCTTGGTCTAAATTCAGCTAAGTAATTCCGTCATTTCTTTTATGTTTTCTATGAACACTCTGTGATCTGTCATAACTCATAAATGTCAATCATTTGACTGATTTATGTTGTTTTCAAATAAGGGATATATACAATTTCCTCTTTATCCTTTGCTTTCTTTTTTAACCACAAAGAAACACCCATTACTCAGCTGTTAGAATAACAAGTTATCTTGCAGCCATTGTCCGACGATTCATGGTTGTGTCAAGTTTTGACAAATAAATGGGAAACGTACGTGCCCGAAAGAGTGCCATCCTGAAGAGCAGTTTCTTTCCTAACACTTTTTTTTAATACAGTGTTATATATATATATATAAATTTATATATTTAATTTTTGAAGTTATACTTCTTTTGGGGCGTTAGAGAAATATGATGAGGGTAAATTTTTACAATGCGCGCGCACACTGTCACGGATGTGAAAATCATTTGCCTAGAAATATACAGAACGGGACAAATCATTCCCACGTTCTAAATTTTCTGAAAAATATTTCTCTTCACTTCCCTGAAGAAGGGGACACCCAGGTTTGAACCGGGGACCTCCCGATCTGCAGCCGAATGCCCTTCCACTGAGCTATACACCCGCGTCGGTGAACCTTTGCTTTGTGTTCCGTAGGAACGTATACGAAAATGCATTGTCTAGAAATATACAGAATGGGACAAATCTCATTCCTGCCTTCAAAATCCTCAAAAAAAACAAAAAAAACTTTCTCTTCATTTCCCTGAAGAAGAAGACTCCCGGGTTTGAACCAGGGACCATTCGATCTGCAGCCGAATGCTCTACCACTCTGAGCTATACACCCTGTGTAAAAGAGCCTTTGCTTTGCGTTCCGTGGGAACGGGTACGAAAATGCTTTGTCTAGAAATATGCAGAACGGGACAGATCATTCCCGCCTTCGACCCCCCTCCCTATATTATTGGTCCTATTTTCCTTGTGCAGGGGTGTTTAAATTTATTTAAATCGTGAATATCTCAGGTTTGGCTGCTCCGATTGACTGAAGGTTAGTTTCGTTCAACTCTGCTCGTGACCGCCTTTCGTCCTTGGCCCAGGTTGACCTGCTAAAGATTTTTAGAAAGATTTTAATCTTGTTACTTAATCTTTAATCTTAAATCTTGTAATCAAAGAAGTATAACTTCTTACGTGCGTACATAAGTACACACACATTTTTTTTATTAGTAAAACTCGATTTCACACAAGTAACACAAAAATCTTAATAACATAAATAAGACTCTATTAAGTAAATGTTTTTTAACCAGTTATCTGTGACTGACGAGTATACTCATCATAGAGAAGTTGCGAGATTTGATGTGCATAAAAAATAGTGATCATTGGGTATTTGAATGGACTAATTTCATGTGACGTCATAGTCACATGATAACTGAGCTACGTGTTTTCGGCCAAATCAGTTCATAAATCAATGCGACATCATAATTATATCATAAATATAACCACGCGTTTCCAGTCAATTAAATCATAATCTTCACTGTTGCCAACTTTTGCTTTTTGAAGGAACTTTCTTTTAGAAAGTACATATTTGTCAACGATATAATAATGCACATAGTTAAACAAAACGCACTTAATTTAAAGTATTCCTACAGTGTATGTATTTTTTTTTTAATTTTGAAAACTGTTTGAAGAATTTTAGCACGTGAACTCTTGACCCAATCATCAAATTTTAAATGTTATCTAAACTTCACAAGTTGAACAACTTCGTATGTCTCAATTTTTAATCAATGGGAAATACGTGATTGCCGTTATCATGTGACCATCATGAATTTAGTCCATTGCAATTTTTGAGAAAAACAAAACACATTCTCAGACTTCAAGATGCGTAGAATACTTTGAGACCAGGCTGAAGTAAAGCAAATAAATAAAAAATATGAAAAATTTAAGGTATCCGACTATGTTCGGAACCGTGATTTTGCAAAAGCGTATAAAGGGATAATGTTTATGGTATTTAGTGTCACTTAGCTTAGTAAATGTATATAAAATTGTTTTAAGGATATTATTACAATAAAAAATTATTTAAGTGCAATATTTTGACAAAAAATGAACTTAGAATGACGTTTTCAAAATATTCTCCTTTTATGAAAAATGCTTCAATTATAATAACATTTTGCCTGTATATAGCTCAGACCTCTGTACAGAGGCTCAACTAGAATTTTTGAAATATATAACTTAGAAGTGGGTTTATCCATGTTTTACGACAACAGAGGGGAGAAGTTTTAAGAAAAAAATGCCGATAATTATTTCAAATGGTTGTAACTCTGAAAATAATGGGAATTTTTCAAAACTCATAGTTGAGCCTCTATACAGAGATCTGAGCTTTAGACAAGCAAAATATTATTATAATAGAAGCATTTTTCACAAATGGAGAACATTTTGAAAAAAGGGTATTCTAAGTTAATTTTTTGCCAAAATATTATATTTAAATAACTTTTTTTGTCAAAATGACCTTAAAACAATTTTATACATGTATTATAATCTAAGTGACATTAAATATCATGAAAATTATCCATTTATGCGCCTTTTTAAAATCCCGGTCCCGAACGTAGTCGGATACCTTAAAATGAACTAATGCGTCCCCGTATGTATCAGCTGAAGCAGCATACAAATTTGCATAACGTTCTACTTATATAAGCGATGATATTTTTCTTAGATTTTAGCCTTAAAGGGGCAACGACAAAAGTTGGAAAGTTGATTTTCACCGACTTCTTTTTTAAAAATTCCTTCCTTTATATTTAATTTTTCTTACCTTTTTCGAGTAACATGTATATAATATATATGTTAATGTTTACCAAATAAATAAGTATTAGTTATAAAATTTTCAGCTTTATAAAATAAACCCGTTTTTTATCCAATATTTTAACAGCAACACTTACTCTGTAATTAACGAGTATATTCGTTATTACTCGATTTCCGTGACACACATAGAGCCGCGCTCTTAAACGGGGGCGCTACAGTTTACAGTTACTATTACATTTAGATATTCTATGCATCTCATTTCTTAATTTAGCACCAATGTATTTCAGTATTATAATGCTAATAAAATGTTGGCAAATTAAATTATAGCTTCAATTTTTTTCGATAGTTCAAAAGTATTATTAATCATCAAATCAGAAACTTCTCTTAATTTATAGTTTTCTTAAAAATATTGATTTCCAGTTCAAGCATAAAATTTTTTTGTAAAAGTAGTAACATAAGAGTTAAAGCAGTATAAAATTTACAGTAAAAAAGCGTTATATATATATATATATTATTTTATTCATATTTACTCTGGTGTTATTATAGTTATGCTATAATATGCAACTATTATTAATTTTTATTTCCATTCTTTTTAATCTTTTGTTAAGTACTACATTTCAGCCACTCTTTTGATTTAAATCTGTATTAGGGTATAGAATCTGGCAACAAATTAATGTTTCCACTCAGATTTAGCACGGGCTTTGCATTTGTAAGTGCAATTTTTAGGTAAGTTACCTCTATCTTGTAAGGGATTTAGATATTTCTATCCATTATTTCCTATTGGTTTTTGCTCAGTGTTATTTACAAAAAAAAGGGGGAAGGTTGGCTGGCCAAAAAACATGTTCAACCCCACTTTTATATAAATTAATTTTTATATAATAACTGTCCTAAGTCAGTAATGTTCATAACACTGCAGCATCCATTTTATATTTATTATCTCGATTACTCTTTTGTCCTTCATTGTGTGATTTTCCTGCTGTCTATGAGTTTGTCGAATGTTATTGTTTGGATGTTATCTCTTGTTAGTTGAGAATTGGCCTATATATATATATATATATATATTTCACGCAAATTGCATCTTTTTGAGAAGTATTAAACGGCAAAGCTTACTTTCCAAAATTTGCACTTTCTTATACTTTTACTAACCAAAATCATCCTTTGGACAAAGGAATATAAACATGAAAGATAATGATTGCACTATTTTGATATAAAAACATTATTGCGAAATCACCTATAAATTTTGTTCTCTCTTGCTGTAAGAAAAATCGATTATATGTTGTTAAAATGTGTACACCCAACTTTTTTTTTTACACTACTTTCAAATAAAACGGTACGCAATACGAATATAAAGAATTGTTTCTTACACAATTTTTTTGCTGCAGCAGAAATTCGAAAAGAATTTAAGCACTTGTGTCCTTTGGATGAGGATGATTTGCTCTAATTTCTAACAGTTAATGATAATAAAGAAGTTGATAAAATGACGAAGTCGAAAGGTGAAGTTCAGCTATTAACAGCTAATTTAATTCGCGAGGGCTTGAAATTTTCTACTAGAAGGTAACAACACTTTCTTACTCATGATCCTGACATAAAGTGTAGATTAAAATTTTAAAGTATTCTTTAGTTTTTTTCTTTGTTTGTTTGTTTTTATTGCTAAAACAATATAACAAAAAAATAGAGGCCTTTAACCCTTTATCTACCGACGGTACTTATAAGCCCCACTCACTTTAAAATTACATAGAATAACCATTTTTACGAATACTCTGACTATACTTAGCAGGAATATTCTTTTAAATCCATTCTTCCAAGATATATGAACGCACGCGTTCCTTGATGAGTATTTTAGCGGGGAAGGCAAATAGTTTTATAGCAGAGATTGTGTTTTAGCTGACGGTGTTTTCAGCGGATTGCGAAGATTGTCATTTTTATTCCGATAAAATAGTTAATGTCAAAAGGTAAGTATCTTTTTTATTTTTTGTGTGTTAAGGAACGCGTTTGACACTATTTTAAATGAACAGTGCATATAATTAATTTTACAGTGTAGAATATCTTTAATTAATTAATTAGCTCTAACGGATTAAATTTCCCGAAGTGCAGTATTTTGTTTATGTATGTCCCTTAATTTTCAATGCAGTGATTCAAAGAAAAATATTGCATGAAAAAAACTGCAGTAAATCATAATACGGTAGATAAAGGGTTAATACCGAAGGAAGTTTTTCACTTGAATCATAGCCGGTAGTTGTGCTAAAAATATCTGACACACATACTAATGATAGCACGTTTAATAATGTTCGTAATAAATGTACTTGTTAGTTAGTAATTTTATTCCTAATTTCCATTTGAATTTATGTATGTTGTCTCTATTTATAGACTGAATATTCACTATACACTAATTTTAATTTTTTCTTTTTGTAATAAAATTGAATTGTTTTTGTTTTATAAATATGTAACACATAGATTTCATTATTACTTTCTTGCATGGAATTTAGAAAAATATTCTGAGATCTATCATCTGTCAGGATTTTTTTAAAATTGTGGAACATATATCCAAATTTACCATATGTCGCATGTATTTTTCTCTCGATTTTTTCGCACGGTTTTTTCTAAGGAACATATCTACCTTTTAAAAAAGGAGTTGGCTGTTGTTCTATTACTTAAGAGACTATATATATATATATATATATATATATATATATATATATTTAGTATGGTAAAACAAAATAATAAAAAACAAATTGTAATTCCTAGAAAGCTAAGAATGAATGGAATTTGATTCCAAAACTATCAAAACCCGCCAAAATATAAGTAATAAAATGGTCCACTAAGAATTTCCCACTAAGACTGGACAAAAACAGAATCCACAAGAAATTGAAGAATTGAGCCATTTAAGTTGAACATACCGAAAGAGGCACAAATACATATATATATTTCAGAATTTTAAAATCTACCTGCTTTGAAAAGATATTCTCTAGTATATAGATTAAAAGGAAAATATAAAATAAAATATTCAATTTTTCCTGCTAAGTACTGCCACAAGGGGAATGAAGTTTAGATATTTGA